GCATTAGAAAACAAAGTATGCTTGGAACAACTTGGATAAGTGAATCTACTCCTTCAATTGTAAACTTTATAAAATCTAAATCAGATCAAGTATTTCTGATGAAAGTTTATTATCTGATTTGAAATGTACAGTAAGTATAAAATACAAACTAAATTTTAAAGACCTAGTATGAAAAAATTTAAACTACCTCATTAATAATTTTTTGTGTTGAAACATGTCAAATTTATAATAGTTTGGACATAATGGATTAGATAGAAACATATTATTAAAATTAATTTTACCTGTTTCTTTTTGCTTCTTAAAATGTGACTACTAGAAAAATTTTAAGTATATATTTTGCTCAAGTTATGTTTCCACTGGGTAGCTCCGTTCTAGTAACCTCACTGTGACTGAGCTGATGATAAGATAAAAACAAGCGCACAATTAAATCAATAGAACTGGTCAATATATCAACATAACACAATAAGTTAAGCACTGCTGTCCTACTAATCTTGAAAGCATACCTCATTTCTGAGCAAAAAGTGAAGTCTCTAGGGAAGATAAAGCATTATAACAGTCACCGTGACGTAACGTGTAAGTCTTTGTTTATTCAGCTCGGAATTTCCTCAGATGGCACAACGTATTTCTGTACAATGAACAACAGCACATTGGGCAGGTTCTGGAACTTCTCTGGCCTGTGGCAATACAGTAGTCCCCCTTATCCACAGGGTATATGTTCTGTGACCCCCAGAGGATGCCTGAAACTGAGGATAGTACCAACATCTATATATTCTATTTTTTTCTATACGTAATACATACCTATGATAAAATTTAGTTTATAAGTTAAGCACTGTAAGAGGTTAACAACAACAATCGATAGTATAATAGAACAATTATAACAATATGCCCCATCACTACTTTTGCAACTTGGAGCTATTATTAAGTAAAACAAAGGTTACTTGAACACAAGCACTGTGGTACGATGCCAGTTGGCCTGATAACCCAGATAGCCACCAAGTGACAAACAGGCAGGTAGTATATACAGTGTGGACACACCCACAAAGGGATGATTCAGTCCCAGGTGGGAGGAAGTGGGTGTCTAGAGATTTCATCAAGCTACTCTGAATGGCATGCAATTGAAACTCAGGAATTTTTTATTTCTGGGATTTTTTATTTAATATTTTTGGAAGCCTCAGTTAAGTGTAACTGCAGAAAGTGAAACTGCAGGGAAGGGGGGACTACTGTACTGCATTTTCTTTTGATCTAGGAAGACAAACTTGGGAGCAATAAAAGCATTTTTAAAAAGCAATAATAAAGAAACAAATTCACATCCATTGCAGTGGCACTTGATAACTGACTTTTAGTTTCATGTAGTGATAAATTTTGCTACAGCTGTAATACTGTTTTGCTATCTGTGCTCTCCGGGGTGTTTAAAGTACACAAAGGAATCTGATATATTAGACCTGAGATATATTTGACTTAGAGAAGAGGTAATCACAGAAAAGTACCTGAGGGTACTTAGAGGTTCCTTAGAGTAGAGGAGGACATTTAAAGGTGAGGCAGTGTCATTATCAAAGGACAGGGATCACAACATGCAATGTGTGATGGGAGATCATAAATAAATTAGGCCATCTTAAAATAAAAGTCAAGAGATGATGCCAAACAGCTAGCCAGGGAACATATTGTGGTGTTTCACTGATGTGTTCCCACTTGATTGAAAAAAATGTTAGAAACAAAATGAATATTGCAAATTTCACAATTAGTTAATTAAGAAAAAAAGTTGTAAAACAAAAGTCACCAGAAAGTGTCACATTCAATGCAATTATAAAACTAGAAACAATATTTTGAGCTCATTTGTACATACATTTTTTGTATAGTAAATTGTATAATATACAATTTTATATTAAAAGTGCTTTAAACATTTATTATCTATTAGTATGTTGGATGAAAGGTAAGTGAAAGGAGTGTAAAGAAGGGAACAGTTTTAGCAGACCCTAATATGTCTCAGAGAAAGATTTTTATTATGCTGTTAGCCATGGAAATATTAAGAAATAATAAACATGAGAGTCTAAGAATGGGTGGTAATTCATGAATAGCGAGAGAGTTGAGAAGATAGAAGATCAAAGTGTAGGAGATTTAAATCTTAAAATATGCTTTTCAACTTTACTGAAGTTTGGGATTATGGAATAGAAGCCTTATTTCCTGAAAAGAGTTTCACATCTAGATTTATTGAGCTAAATGCTGGATTTCCTTGGGTAGTAAGTAGGGTAAATGTGTCACCAAGAGGTCAAAAACATTGAGGATGGAAATACAAAAACTGTTGGTTTGAGTTTGAGTTAACGGAATTACTTGCTGCTTCTCTGTTCCCTCAAAAGTTCTGAACTTATTCTCACAATTCAGGCAGCGGCGTGGACTTTAAACTGCCGCAGAAGAGGCTGCAGAGAACATTGCAGAGACATACCTGGAACCACCATGGCCTCACAAACTATGGATGAGCTTGGAAAGGATTCTTTCATTTCCAGTGTCCCAGGATTCAGGATTTTGATTAAACAAAAAAATTGAAGTACTGCAAAGAGATATTTTCTGCTTAGAGTATTCTTTTTTTTTTTTTTTTTAGAGCAGGAAACATTAAAAAATAAAAACATTTGAGAGAGTAGCAGAAGGAGCCGTAACAGCAGATAAAATTAGATATTTTCTTTCCAATAGAATGCCACTTACCTTACCTNCGAGCTCTGATGTCCACAGACAGGGGAGAAGAGTGTATCCCAGCTCTAGCAGATCGAGAGACAGAATGCCACTTACCTTACCTACCAATTTTAAGGGTGTCACTTGGAATTATAATTCTAAATGGATTTATGGTCCCACAGATCCACTTTCATTTATTTTGTTAATTGCTCTGGTGAAAAGCAGCATCCACATTTGAGATTGAGATAGCTAGAAAGGGCAAAGAGCTTGGTCTTTGGCATTTTTAAAAAAATAACAACTTTATTGAGATATAATCTACATTCAGAGAGAGCTAACATACATATATATGTTGTTTAATAAAGCCCAAGTCTGGGCTTCCTCAAGGGCAGTTTTTACTGACTGCTTACCCCGCACCCCTGCCATGTATGGATTAGTCAGCTTGGGCTGCCATAACAAAATATCATAGATTGCGTGGCATAAACAACAGAAATTTATTTTCTCACTGTTCTGGGTACTGTAAATCCAAGATCAGGGTGCCAGCCAGGTTGGGTTCTGGTGAGGGCTCTCTTCCTGGCTTGCAGATGGCCACCTTCCCACTGTGGGCTCACATGGCCTTTCCTGTTTCTTTGGATGTCTTCTAATATTTTTGTTGAAAATTAGACATTTTAAATAACACAATGTGGCAACTCTGGAAATCAGACCTCACCCCGCCCCCCACTGCCACCACCACTGCCTTTGTTCTTGCGGGCTTTGTTTGTTTTGTTACTGTTTGTGTAGTGATTTTTAAAAAACTAATTAGTCTATATTCTTGTTGTGTGTAGTCAGTGAAGTCTTTGCTCAGTTAACTCAGTGGACAACTAATGATAGAGATTTTTCTAGAATGCCTGGAACCAGTCAGTATCCTAGCCCCTGCTAGGAGTCCTCTGGGTGTGCTGGGGCATGACTTTAGCACTTTGGCAGCCAGTGTACAACTGCTTTGCTTCCACAGAGTCTCATGGCCAGCCAGAAGCGAGAGCATGCAGCCTTCTCTGGCCTTTCGTAAGCGCTTGCACATGCCTGCACTTGCATAGGGCCGTGTGGGTTCCCAGGACTATGTCGGAGCTTTTCAAAGCCCATTATGGACATCTCACTCCCCAGCTTTTCCTTTTACATTTTTTGATTAGC